AATAGAAATCCAGCCCATCTTGCTCACAGAATACAAACTCTCTGCAGAAATCCACCACTCTTCAAGGGTATGTTGGATTTGTGGATCACAGGCCTACTGGACTCTGACCCTAAAAGGGACAGGGATCTGCTCCCTGGGATAAATTTTTCCTGACCTATCCATTGCATGGGAAAATGTCTCACTCTCCTTCCCCCTTAGGGGATAGGGACACTTATTCAAAAGGGGTGACCCATTGATCCCCATAATAGCATTGCTAGAGGTTCTCTCCATGGATGGGGCCGTGGCAGGTGGCACCTCCCTAGGTATCCATTACCAATTATCCCTAAAAACAGTGGAGGCACTAACTGAGATGTAGAAAATGCTAGCTTCACTCCAGGAACAGCTAGACTCCCTAGCAGGGGTAGCCCTTCGAAACTGAAGAGTCCTAGACCTACTCACAGCATCAGAAGGGGGGCATGTCTGTATCTCAAAGAAGAATGCTGTTTCTATGATAACAAATCAGGTCAAATCCAGCAAAACATTCAGGGTATACTGGAGTCTGCATCTATAATAAAAAATCTGAGCCCCTGAATAAATCCTAATTCTTGACTCTCCAGCATAACATGGCTATTGCCTTTCCCAGGACTCCTCCTGTCAATACTCCTACTTCTGATGTTTAGACCATGTATCTTCAACCTGCTTGTAAAGTTTATATCTTCCAGGCTGGAGAAGTTCAAGAAATAAGTTGTAGTGGTGCTTGTCCTGCAGGATTATCAACCCAAGCAAGCGAGAGCACAAGCACAGCTCACAGATATGGCTTATGATAGCCCTACAATCCTTCTCAGAAAGAAGTTGTTCCAGAAGAAAAACCTTCACCCATTTATCCTCAGCTTCACAAAAACAATAAAAAAACAGTCTGAGATGAAAAGGTCAGGCCAGCTTTCCAACCTGCCAGAGTGCTCATAAGGCAGTTATCCCAACTCACTCGATAGCCTGTGGCTTAATCGAAACTCCCATCTTGCACAATAGACATCTGGTGCCAGCCACAATGGCCACTGGTCACACTGACCTTCCTGTATCTGGGAACGAACAACCCGGCCCTTTATCTAACCCATTGTCCTGACTCACATCCTGAAACTCTGAGGCAACTGTCCAGAAGAACAAGAGACTAACTCCTCCTGTATTACCTTGCAACCCATGTTTTTTCTTCAAAAAAAAAAAAAAAAAAAAAACCTCCCTTGTCTCCCTCTGCTGCTGCAGTCTGCCCAGATTCAGCCTGCCTATAGCACAGCTTCAAATAAAGGTATTTAGATCAGATCATATGGCTCTTCCCATCTCTCTTTCTCTTTCTCTCTCTCTCTCTTTCTTTCTCTCGCATTTCTAACATAGGCCACGCTGGCAGAAGAAGAGTTGTCTTGGGCACACATTAAATACATTATGGCATGTAATCACAAAAAAATCTCATAATGTTTTAGGTAAATTTACAATTTTGTGTTTGGCCACATTCACAGCCATCCTGGGCTGCATGCGGCCTGTGAGCCACAGGTTGGACACCTCTAGTCAACAACATCCAATAAACTTTCTAAAATATAAATCAAATTACATCACTTTTGTATATCAAACTTTGCAGTGGCTCTCTACCTCACATAAAATAAAACCCTGTTCTAACCCTGCAACTTCCTATGAGACCTCATCTCCACTAGCCTCCCATGTCTCAGTCATCTATCTTCACTCTGCTCCTCTCTCACTGTATTCTACACTTGGCCTTCTGCTGTTTCTCAATGCATTGACCTTGTTCTTATCTCATGGTGTGCTACTTGCTACTATTTGTACCTAAAATGTTCTTCTTCAAAGTTTTGACACAGCTGACTGTATTTTATCATTCAGATCTCGATTCACATATCAACCTCTCAGAGATTTTCTTATACCCCCTAGCTAAAGTAGCTGTCATCTGCTCCATAAAACACTGTTAACCATCCTTCACCCATGTAAATATAAATTACATGATGGTCATAACTATAAACTTTATTTTCTTCATTGTAAGCTTAGGACCAAGAACAATGTCTGACACTTACTTGGCACTCAAGACATGTTTGTTTCCTGAAATAAGGGCATTTTTCTTAAAGTGCCATACTCATGTGATTTATTTTATTTTATATATTATATATGAGATATATGTCATATATAGAGAAATTATTATGAAGTATGTGAGCTTCTTGTCAACTCACAGAAGTAGGTATGCAACTTGCCATCCAAAATTTTGTTTGAATGTCAATCTTAATGATGGCACACATACACCAAAAGGGTACAAAAAGGATTATTACTCACAGAATAATTCATCTATTAAAAAATAGAGTCAGATCAAGAAAAAAAAGAAATGTGTTAACTATGTTAGATAATTAGATGCTTGTGATTATTTCACAATACATACATATATCAAAACATTAAGTTGTATACCTTAAACATGTGCAATTATATTTGATCAATATACCTCAATAAACCTGGAAAATAGAGTAAGACTTGGTTACATCTAAACCTTGCTAATAGAATAATACAATTCAGCCCTGAATTTTGATAACTACAATACTCCATGGTTCATTTATTTTAGTCTTGTGTATCTAAGCCATTATGCTACTGGCAACATGAGACCAGTTAGAGAGCTGAATGTTCCACTGAATATTGTGTTCCAGAGCCCAGTAGTACATATTCTGAGAAGTGAAGTGCCTTGGTCACTATCAATGATAGTGTAGAACTCCAAAGAGGATAAGGAGCACCATGGGGAGACCTTGTACTGTGGCTTTAATATGTGCATAATAATCTGTGACCCCTTTATTTATATCTTTGAAATTTATGAAGCAAGAGATTCCAGGGGATATTTACCCCAAATAAGCTAAACTTGGATAAGGAATTGTTTGTATTTTCCAGACCGGATTGTCAGACCATTGGCAATGGTCCAAATAGCAATAAAAATGTACACATGGGACCAATTGTTGGCCAAAACGTCCAGTGCTAAGATGACTGACTAAAGTTCAGCCAATTGAGCTGACCCTTGGTCCTGTCCTTTACCAGAAACATCCTGATTAAGGGACAGAAAGCAGCAGCTCTCAAACAAGTTCCTTTAAAGTGTGAGAGTGTTGAAATCATTGCTTCAGTGAATGGACTCCTTTTGGTATTCACTCTGCTGATCCTAAGAGGCTCCCCAGGCAGCCAGGGGTTCTGAGAGAGCAGTGACCTCTTCCAGCACTGTGGCACATGGCAAGAGACTGGGCACAGGGGGAGTTACCTTCTCCTGTAGACAGCGAAGGCTCAGGACCCAGTTCTGGTTCCATCCTATAGCAAGGATGCCTAACTAGCTGTGCTGAGCTTGCAGAATGCTGCCTCCATTATTAAAGCATAATGGGGAGCTGGTTACAGGGGTCACAGACTAAGGACCTGAGAGAGCCTTATTTCTAACAAAGTGCAGTATGTGGCCTCCTGCTACCACACTAATGGCATGCATCATTGGACCAAGGAGGGCAGCCTCTTGTATAAGAAACCCATTGGCAGCTAATGGTGGGTTTCTTTTAATAATGTGGTACTAAAAAGGATAAAAGCTGTTTCCTGACACACTCAGGATTAGAGCAGCCCTCAGCCTAACTAATGATGTTCAAAAACCTAACTGAGGTTGGTGGGACCTGGTACTACGTGTGGGGTAATGGATCATCCCTTTTCTGTGCACTCCTCTGTTTCAGTGTGCAGGTAAATGAAGCCCCTCAAAGGAGATGTCGTCAGTGTGATGTCACACCCGTGTACCTGGAAAGAGCTAGATGTGGTTAGATATTGTCTGCAGAGATCATGTGACATGACAGGGGTGGAGAGGTATCCCACTGAGTACCCAAGTAAAGGCATGTCATGTCTCTTTAAAAGGGAAGATTAAGTGTAGCTGGAGGCTGTTGAAACAGGCACTGAGGAGAACATGTTAGTCAAATATTTTGCTGTAACTGCAGAGTATTTACCAGTTTGCTGTTGAATGGAAATTACTGATTCCACCCAACAGTAAACTGGTAAATGGGGATCCACATCTAAAACTGTCCATGACATTAAGGGTACAAAAATTCACACCGTTCATGCTTTCCAGGTCTAAGAGCAAGTAAAATTTGGCTGTTAACTTCAGAAGCAGGAGGAGGGGATAATTATACCTTTTCTAAATGGGTCTTATATAATGGGTTTCAACCTGTGAAGGTCCTGTTTCCATTTAGATTGGGTCCTTTTAAAACTAGGGTGAAAGGCATTATTTATTTTATAACTAGAGAAGAAGATCCACGGGTTAATATTTTTAAAGCTTATTGTGAGTGTAAGTTACTTAATTTTATTATTTATCGGGTCAGGTTGTCCATGTGCATTGGGAGATATTTTAGGGAAAGAAGTGTTTTGGCTTTGTAGAATGTAGGCAACACAATACTTCCAATGCTGCAGCTCAGGCATATCTGTCTCTGTTTTATGCTCAGTAACTCCCTGTTTTTTGTTTCTCTTTTTGTTTTTTTTTTTAAATCAGCTTGTCCACGTGTGGGCCAGAAGTGGAAGAGAAAGGAGTGAGGCTGAAAGCTGTCAATAGTCTAACATCTAAAATGGAATCGGATTCATTATCACACACTGGCCTCCCCGCACATCACCTCGCTGCTCCCCCATTCCCGCCCCCCCCCCACCACACTCGGAACACAAACAAAACACCAGTTTCTTTCCACCCCTGCCCGTATGATAAACTGTTAAGGAAAAATCCCTCTTCAGTGTTCACCTAGTCCTTGTTCTCCGTGTCTGGCTAACTGTGGACTGGCTGGTCTAGTCCCCAGACTTGGAGGACACCACCTCCCCCCTTCTCCCATGCCTGCCCCTTCCTTCGCTCCCTCCCCGTCTTCCGAGAACGCACAGAACAAAACACATTTCCTTTTCACACATGCTAGTGTTTTATTCATTAACGCCACATGACGTCCTTGGGTCTGGACAGGGGACCCTTTCCGTTTTGGTCTCTACATAAGGGACCATTACTCTGGCATTTCTTCCAGAGACGCAGCATCTATGGAAGGGTCTTCGGTTTCTGGGTCACAGGCGTCGTCACTTGTAGAGGGAGCCTCCTCCTGGTTTTCTTCATCTGTGTCGGGCAGACTTTCTTCATCCGTGTCGGGCTGGCTTTCTTCATCCGTGTCGGGCTGGTTTTCTTCATCCGCGTCGGGCTGGTTTTCTTCATCCGCGTCGGGCTGGTTTTCTTCATCCGCGTCGGGCTGGTTTTCTTCATCCGCGTCGGGCTGGTTTTCTTCATCCGCGTCGGGCTGCTTTTCGCTGACTTTTCTACACCCCCCTGTAGCACAAGATGATTATCTTCGGCTTTTTCCCTCCCTTATGCTTTTCTTCAATCTGTCGAAGGACCGAAGTCACCTTCTCTGTTAACTTCAGAGCCTAGGAGGGAAACCAGACAAACCCGGAAAGACATTGCTTTGGGGGAAGTGGGTGGGAAACCCGTAAGAAGGGGATGGGAGGAGGCTGAGAGGGACTTGAGGAGGGGCTTGTGCCAGGCGAGGGCAGGGGAGAAGCCTTCCGGGGGGGGGGGTCCGTGGGGAAGAGGAGGGGGCCGAGGAGGAGGGGAGTCTGACCTTTCTCCGTCCTTCGTCTGCGACCTGGGAATCACTCTTCCTCTTCACTCCTGTGGTTGGCGTGGGTGTCTCTTCCTCTGGAACAGGCTCCATCGTTTCCTCAGTTTCGTTGGCCATCGGGTAGCCGCAGCGCCCTACTCAGGGCGCCTGACCTGTACATATACCGTCCAGGACACTGAGGAGCCCCACCCTCAGCTGTGATGGGCCATCAGAAATTCCTTCCGCCAGTGGTAACCACGGTGCGGTGTGACATCACAAAGCCCCACCCTGCACAATCCGGGAGGGGGAGGGGAGAAGGGGAGGGGAGAGGGGGAGGGTAGAGGGGGAGGGGAGAGGGGGAGGGGAGGGGGCAGAGGAGTTTGGCTGCTCTGGTTAGACCGAGGTGGAGCTTCTTCAAAACCCCTAAGAGTTTTCCCAAAGTCACCGCTCACTCTTCCTCATCTCCTCTAGGTGGGTGCTTGTGGTGCACAGGGCAGGGGGAGGGTGCTTCCTCTAAGCCGTTCCCCTCAGCCGTCTCCATTCATTGGGTCATTCTGTTGTCTCCTATCTCTAGTCATCATCTAGTATTTCATGAGCTTTTAGTGCATGTTTCATTTTAGAACAGTTTCAGATTTACAGAAAAACTGTGAAGGTAATACCCATATGCCCCACACCCAATTTCCCTTATTATTACCATCTTGCATTAGCATGGTGCCTTTGTTACACTTGTGAACCAACAGTGAAACAGTTATTAATTAAAGTCTGTACTTTATTCAGATTTCCTTTGTTTTTCTTAATGTGGTTTTTCTGTCCCAGGCTCCCATCCAGGATGCATGTGACATTTAGTCATCATGCCATGCCTCATTAGGCTCCTCTTGGCTCTGACAGTTTTGAGACTTTTTGTGTTTGAGAACCTTGAGAGTTTGCTTTGTCTGTTGTGTTTTTTAACATTAAATTCTCAGATGTTATTGATGCTATAGTTTAAAGTTTGTACCCTTTTAAGAAACTCTTCCTATTTCCTCCACCCTGCAGACCCTGGCTACAACGTTCGACTCTCCATTTCAATGAGTTTCACTTTTTCTTTTTTAAATATTCCACATATAAGTAATACGATGCAGGGTGTGAGTGTGTGTACATGACATTTTCTTTATCCATCCATCTATTGATGGATTCTTGTATTATTTATATGGACTATTGTGAATAATACAACATAATACCTACCTAGTATTTTTTTAAAATCCTTTCTTATTGTTATTCTATTAAATTTGTCTCAATTTTCCCCCTTTGCCCTCCTCCGCCCATCTCCCTCCCCCCAGTCAATTCCCACAGTTGTCCATGTCCATGGATCATTCATACATGTTCTTTGCCTAGCCTCTTCCCCTTCTTTCCACCATTGTTCCAACCTCCCCAGCTCTGGTCACTTTCAATCTGCTCCATGTTTCCATGCCTGTGATTCTATTTTGTTAGTTTATTTTGTTCATTAGTTTCCACTTATAGGTGAGATCATATGGCATTTGTCTTTCACTGACTGGCTAATTTCACTTAGCGTAATATTCCCCAGTTCCATCCATGCTGTTGCAAAAGGTTGGAGTTCCTTCTTTCTTTCTGCTGCATAGTGTTCCATTGAGTAAATGTACCACAGTTTTTGATCCACTCATTTGCTGATGGGCACTTAGGTTATTTCCAGCATTTGGCTATTGTAAATAGTGCCACTATGAACATAGGGGTGCATATGTTATTTTTGAATTGGTGAGTTAGGATTCTTAGAGTGTATTTCCAGCAGTGGAGTCTCTGTGTCAAAAGGCATTCCATTTTTAGCTTTTTGAGGAAATTCCATACTGTTTTCCACAGTGGCTGTACCAGCCTGCAATCCCACCAACAGTGTACTGGGTTGCTTTTTCTCCACAACCTTGCCAGCACCTGTTGTTTGTTGATTTCTTTATGATGGCCATTCTGACAGGTGTGAGATCATATCTCAATGTAGTTTTAATTTGCATCTCTCTGATGGATGGTTATGTTGAGCATCTCTTCATATATCTATAGGCCATCTGTATGTCCTCTTTGAAGGAGTGTCTGGTCAGGTCTTTTGCCGATTTTTTCACTGGATTGTTTGACTGCTGGTGTTGAGTCATATGAGTTCTTTATATATTCCTAGTATTTTGGCCCAATACCTAGTATTTTGGATCTTACCCAAAATCCCACAGAGCTAAATACTGATATTTAAGTATCAGTAAAGAAATGAGTTGTTACACTTCCCTCCAACACTTGGCTCTTCTAGACAACTTTCCAGGTTGTATGTGGTGTGTATGCATGGGTGTGTGTATGTTTACTGGATGGGCTTCAATGGTTTTCTTCTCTACCCTCTTCATATTTATAAGCTTTTCCTCCACAGAACCTGAAACCAAGTCATAACCATCAGGGTTATGGACCTCCCCATGGTAGTGACAGAATTAATCCCTTGGCTTTGTCACAGGGGTGCTGTGGATGTTTCTCTCTAGAGCCCTAATGATCAGTGTTGTGTGTGCGTGTGTGTGTGTGTGTGTGTGTGTGTTTACTGAATGTACTTCAATGGGTTTCTTCTCCACCTTCCTCATACTTATAAACTTTTTCTCCAGAGAACCTGAAACCAAGTCAGTACCATCAGAGTTATGGACCTCCCCATGGTAGTGGCTGAATTAATCCCTTGGCTTTGTCACAGGGATGCTATGGATGTTTCTCTCTAGAACCCTGAGGATCAGGGTCCTGTGTGCGTGTGTGTGTGCGTGTGTGTGTGTGTGTGTTTGTGACAGAGTTATTGGCAGCAGCAGCAGAAGCATTTTGTAAGGTCCCAGTGAGTCTTCTGCTTTTAGGAGTGTGACTTCCACATCCCATACAATAATGGCTCTTCCTCCACGACTGACTACCCAATGGACCTTTTTATTGAACAGACTCTCCAACCAACCTCTGTATAGAAAGGGAGCAACAACTGGTTAAGACACAACAAATGTTCACAAGGTAAGACTCATTGCCTCAGACATAGTGTCAGTCACATCTTGTTTTAGAATTGGGACGTATGCTTCCATCTGAGGCTCACAGAGAGGTCCAGGCTGAGACACATGGTCGAGGACTACTTTAAGGCAATGACTGTCACTATATGCCAATCTGCTAAACTGGCTAATGTGAGTCAGATCTTTAGCAGATGCTTCATAAGACTCACAAATGCAGCACAAAGAAGGACAGTTGAAAGTGCAAGCAGGCCAGCAGGCAGTAGCTCAGAACACATGCCTACCAGTACGCAGCAGAGCTAGTTAGGAGGCAAAAGCAAGACAAGCAAGAGCCCCGGTGGTGGTGGACAGAACCTTGATGTCCTGCTCACACAGCCGATTGTTGTGATCACTCCACAGAGACAGGATGGACCCTTCTCCCCAAATCTGGTTTGGATGTCAAGACTGATGACACAAACATATGAATATGAAATATTCATACAAGATAGTATGAAAAGTTTATTACTCACATAAGGAGGCTTTCTCAGAAGAGCAGGGCAGGATCTCCAGCAGGTTCGAGAATTGTTTGAGACACACCGTAAACTAATATAAAATAATATTGAATGTCAACTGTAATTAAAAATGAAGAAGAATGGCTTGAGGGAGCAGAGGAAGGAGACGCGCCTTTGACGGTAATAAGAGGATGAGCCTGGAATGAGTATTCCATACAGGTTAGGATTTGCATGGTTTGAACTGCCTGCTGGCCCCATAGAAAAGTGTAAAGTGTGCCTGGGCTTTCTCATCAGACAGGCAAGGCAGGGAAGAGGACGTGGTGCGGTTCTCTTATGGAATAGTGTTGTGTAAATGCCAGAGGTTTCAGCCCAATTTAGAATTCTCATAACCCTTACAACAAACCTTCTTTTATTGTTTTGGCTTAAGCTGCTTTTCAGTAGATAAACATTCATCAAATTATGGCCCTTTAAATATTATCTAAAGTGGCTTAGAATTATCTTGGTTCATCAGCGGAGAAACTGTATAGAAAGAGAAAAGTCTGCTAGCATCAGCAATCTGACACTCTGTCTACAAGAGAGCAGACCTAATTACACTACCTGGTGAATTATGCAGGGTTACTTACATTTTTCCTATTCCAGGTGATTACTGTAGCACACAAAGACTGTAATAATAATAATAGAAATTAACATTTATTGATCACTAACTCTATGTAGAAATTATACTAAATATTCATGTCCCTACTTAATCTTCATCACAACACTATTCATGTAAGTGACAAAATAGCACTTTCTGCCAGCTCTGCTGGGATGCCTGTGGCTACCTCCATTGTGATTGAATAAAAAGAAAAGACCAGAGGGAAGGGCACATGGGAACATTTCTAGGCCAGACTCAACTTGGGCATGCGGGACTCCTGCTCATGTCTCATTGGAAAAAAATTCACAGAACTACACTCAACTGCAGTACAAAAGGGGAAATGTAGTGTATCCAGAGGAGAACTTGAATGCTGGAAACAGCCAGCAGTCTCTGTCACCACTATCCTGTCCATCACCATCCCCATATTTAGAGTAGGGTTAGGCCCACAGTAAGTCATAAACCAGTTTGAGTTTTTTGGGTCAGTTATGGAGATCAGAAACGTATAGGACTTGGTTAAGATATGGGTTCTTAGATTCAACACAGAAGTGTAAGCAACAAAGAGTAAATTGGACTACATAAACATTTTAAAAATTATTTCTTCTAAAAAATGACCATCAAAAAATGAATAGGCTCCCCAAAGAAAGAGAGAAAATATTTGAAAATCATATATTTGATAAAGGTCTAGTATGCAGATATAGAAAGAACTCTTACAACTCAAAAAGAAAAATACTATGACCCAATTAAAAATTAGGTAAAAGACTTGAGTAGACATTCCACCAATTAAGATACACAAATAGCCAAAAAAAAAAAGACATGAAAATATGCTCCATATCATTAGTCATTAGGGAAATGCAAATCAAAACCACAATGAGATACCAGTGCACACCCATTTGGAAGCTATAACGAAAGAAATAACAAAATAACAAGGATATGAATAAATTGAAACCCTCATACACTTCTGGGGGGGGACATAAAATGGTGTTATCTCTAGAAAACCATTTGGCAGTTCCTTAACAATGTAAACATAGA